ATCAAAATTTCACGTCTCCATGTAGTATCACAAGCTTTTTCTATGTCAAAAAAGATAGCGCCAGTATGACGTTTACTAATAAACCCGGCCCGCACTGCGGTATCAAGAGGCGCGATGTGGTCAATCGTGCTCCTGTTCTTAAAGAATCCACACCGAGCATTCGTAAAAAGTTTTGACATTCTTAAGTCTATGAAAGCCGCACATTCACCATCCTTTCCATGAGCTTGCAGAGCAAAGATGTGAGGGTGATCAAGCGATAGTCAAAGGCGTTCGTTCCACTTTTACCGGGCTTTAAAATAGGCGCCACCGTGGCCTCTCGCCAGATTGGCAGGAAGCTACCTGACTCCCATATACAGCTGAAAAGTGCCAGCAGCGCTCGTAGTATGCGGGGACGAAATGTCGTGTCATGACGTGGATGAGGACGGGCCCCTCCACAACACTACGCAATAAGCAAATGGCCGCTTCAAGTTCCATCATAGTGAAATGCTTGTTGTATGTCAGTATGTCACCTGTATGAAATTAATTTGAGAAGTCTCACATCTCGCCCTGTGTCGCCAAAACCGTGGATCACAGGTGTCATTACGGCAATGGTCCAACAAGGTTTCCCCAATGGCTTCCGCGACATCACTTGGGTGAGTGATGTCTTGATTTCCCACCCGCAGTACGGGAAGTGAAATTGGCGGGTTCAATGCAGCAATTCTTTTAATGCGGCCCCACACATGTGACGTCAGCGTATGGCGATTTAATGAGTTGACGTGGCTGCGCCATGATGCACGTTTCGCCTCTCGTATAGTGCGGCGTGCGGCCGCGCGTGCTTGCCTGAAAGCCATGAGGTTTAATGTGCTGCTGTGCCGGTCAAAAGGCCTAAAAGCGCTCCGACGTGCGCAAATAGCGTCGCGACACTCGTCCGATCAGGGTACAGGGATGCGATGAGGGCATCCAGAGGTGCGCGGAATGCATTAGTTTGCCGCGTCCAGAACGCGAGACGTAAATTCCTTCGCGGTCGGTTGTCGCAGAGTCGAAATCGTAAGGAAAGATTTCCTCCAGGCGGGTCTCAAATCCGCTCCAGTCCGCCTTCTTGAAGTTCCAATGCTAAGGTCGAGTACCAAGAACAGTACCATCACGGAACCGAACCCAGACCGGAAAATGGTCACTTCCGAGGGGGTCCTCTGAAGCATCCCAGGTAAAGTGTGGTACCAGCTACGAAAAACTATCACGCATAACAGAAGCCTAGACAGAGAACAGGGAGTGAGCCGGACCAACCCAACGATCGCAGAGGTGTGATAATTGTAGGAAATGGTGTCTGCTAGATACGCCACCGGCCAAATGAAGATAGGATATCGGCGCCTACAGCTGGCCTAATATGGTATGAACAGCAACGCTTTAATGACTTTTTGCCCGATCTTGCTGCTCTGGTGGCGTGCGTTATGCAGCTTTGCCTGGGGGTGAAGACACACCCTTCGGGAGGGGGCCCCCAGCATTCTGATCAGCTCGGTGTGGTGGTCTCCAAACCGTGCTGAGTTTCCAGCAAGTGACGGCCTGGATCTCTCACAGTAACGTGCCGATGCAGCGCACCACTGCACTCTCGAGCATCCGCCAGGGCACTGCATGGTAAGCCGCGTCCAGCTGGCTCGCCAGCGCTTCTTGGCGGATCGTGCATCCTGCTCTGTCCAGTGGCCTTCGGACCGCCAATGCGGTGATCTGGCAAACGACATTGGCGACCACGAGGGACAGCCGCGGTCGGTATTCATAATCGCCCAGTATATCGAGCGCCTCGGTGCTGTTGGTGCCACACGTGCCATCGGCACTCCGCTAACTGGGACTAATCCACAGCTGGGATGGACTGGGATCCAGCCCGGTGATAACCTCGCTAAGTGGGGCTGTAATCCACAGCTAGGATGGACTGGGATCCAGCCCGGTGATAACCTCGCTAAGTGGGGCTGTAATCCACAGCTGGGATGGACTGGGATCCAGCCCGGTGATAACCTCGCTAAGTGGGGCTGTAATCCACAGCTGGGATGGACTGGGATCCAGCCCGGTGATAACCTCGCTAAGTGGGGCTGTAATCCACAGCTGGGATGGACAGGGATCCAGCCCGGTGATAACCTCGCTAAGTGGGGCTGTAATCCACAGCTGGGATGGACTGGGATCCAGCCCGGTGATAACCTCGCTAAGTGGGGCTGTAATCCACAGCTGGGATGGACTGGGATCCAGCCCGGTGATAACCTCGCTAAGTGGGGCTGTAATCCACAGCTGGGATGGACTGGGATCCAGCCCGGTGATAACCTCGCTAAGTGGGGCTGTAATCCACAGCTGGGGATGGACTGGGATACAGCCCGGTGATAGTACGCTGGCCAGGGTGTATTTTCCTGTTATGACTGTGATATTGTTATTGTGTGAGTTTCTATCTGGTCTTGAGCGCTCGGAAGTATTCATTCCATTTATTAGAAGCTGGTTAACCAGTCCCTGACCTGGCTGGGTGCCTGCTCGTGCGCCCAATTGTATTTGAGTCCTTCATTAATTATACTTCAATCTTTCATCTATTTTTCTGCGAATGCCGTGGAACTAACGAAGACAATGAAGGGCGATATATCACGCTCCGCACGATGCGGATTCGGCAGTGACTCGTACGTCGGCGCCAGATACGCGGCTGCGGACCCACGGACACCGGCAGCGTCACCGCAGTACCAGGTGTGTCAACGTCCATCTCACGGCAGTATCAGATACCGCGCCCCGGGACCCCATCGCGGGACTCGGAACGACGGCGGGTGAACCCTACGCCGCCTTTCACACGAACGCCAGGGAAAACCTCAGTTCCACCGATGCTTGACGTGAGCGCGGCGGAACCGTCTAAGCCAGCGTTGGCGCCGCGGCGATCGGCGCCAGCGAAAGCCCCACACTCCTCAGAATTGCCGAACAGGTGTTACCCGTACCATATCGAATGTCACTGCAGCCGACCACTGCGAGTTTCTAGAGCGCCAGGTGGACAGGAAGATAGCGACCCCACTATCGCTCGGCGTGAGCACGGCGGGCCGTCCCCGCAGGCAGCGGTCGTGGAGGTCAGCGGAAGGAATTTCTCCATGCAGGTAACTCACTGAGCAGTAAAATACAAAAATAGGTGTGTCAGGATCGTTGACATATGACCGTATCTCGTAAAACCCATTAAAATTGACTCTAGCTTTAATTTCTGCTTCCGCGATCTTTCACAGAGACCTTGCGTCTCAAGCGTTGCAATGGTCCTGCCAAAGCGAGTCTATGTTTCTTGACAGTACTAAGATAGTGGTCAACTTTACGTTCTAGCAAGGGGATCACTCCATTAAGCTGTCCTGTAATCCTGTATTGCTATGCGGTGTATCGCAAACCCCGCTCGTGCTTCGATTAGCTGTTAACTAATGATGTGGCAGCCTTCACTCAATCCGCACGAGGCGACAAACTTTTTGATGACATCTATTTATTGATGAAGTAGATATGTGAGATTCATCCCAACAATCTGTATGCATTTCCCGCCAACGCTGATTTTGTGGTGTATTCTTCAACGGTTCTCAAACATGTTAGTTCACATACAACTGCCACCTAAGTTTTTGTTTTTGCAGCATTTTTGTACAGCTCCCAGAGCATCGTTGCTGTCGTATGCACACGACTAGTAGATCTGGACTAGAAGCCAAGGCTGCCAAAACTAGTATGCGGTTTCCTTGCAAAACAACGCAAAGTTGATAACGTCATTTCTTTAAATCCTACCATTCCATTAGCCGTGCGGCGATCAAGACAAATACAAATATGGTTGTCGAGTTGTTCGTATCTGGCGTTCGCGAGCACGACTTCCAAAATGAACAGTCGTCAATTGACGTTTAATCAATGTTCAAGGTACGATTACGCAATCAAACAATGACATCTTGGGGAACATGTTTACTAAACAGAAAAAATTGTGTTGTCTAGACCGGTCTTTTCCACTTATAAGGACACCAGTAGCTATATATAAGCTTATTTTATCATAATATTTTCAAAGGTGGAACATTCCCTTTATATGTGGCATGCCAGAGTAACAGCATGCATCCTAGAGATATTGGTGGTGGAAGATTCCCTTTACATGTGGCATCCCAGAGATAGAGCGTCCATTTGACGCTCCATTGATTGATTTCCAGGTGGGAGACGGACGCCGCTTGTGACAATACAAGTGGCGAGTGCGCGTCTGACTCCCAAGTCTCTAGTTTCCAGGATCTTTGAACCTCGGTCTGATTCAAGTTAGTCCGGTTAAGCCCGGGTCTGAGCATGGGTTCATAGCCTCATAAAACTGGTGAATGCAGGTCTGATTTCCATTCATCGTGAGTTGAATCTTACCCATGCAAGGGCCTCTAATGTTATTAATCCGCAAACCGTCGTAAGAATTCGACATCAGGCCAGTACCATACGATGACTTGTTAAAACCGTAACTAAACACTTGCGCATTCTCCTGTTCTTCGTGCATCTAGCTTGAGAGAATGGATGCCATCGCATGTTTCTCTACTGCAATTGATACATCACCTTACGCACATGCATTGATTGCAGGCATTGAAAGGATTGGGCTATGGGGTTTTAACACGGGCCAAATATAAAACGCAAGTACCATCCCCTATCGGTGCTTCATTATGGCAGCGGTCGAGCAAAAAACACTACAATGCAAGGTGCAAAAGGATGCATCGTTCATTAAGCATTTTACTAGTGAGCCCATTTTCCCTGAGATCCGACGAAAACGGTCTTTTTCCTGTCATACTGCTATAATATGGTCACCTCAGAGACAGAAGATCAGCTTGTCAGCCCCAGTCAACGCTGCCAGATGGAACAAATGGTGACAGGATCCAGCATCAGTGGTTGCTCTGGGACAAAAGGATTCCTTTGACTGCCACAAATGTTTGCTCTTCCAAACTAAAAGGTTGCATCTGACGCTGGGTTGTATTCGAAAACTCAGAAACCAGCCTACTTGCATGCTGTAGGTGCAGGTGCTGTGTGATACTGAAGGCCGCTTTTCGTAGAATACATTGTCAAGCTCTTTGCAGAATTTATTTGCCGTCACTGAATGTAATATAATGCCTCAGGTGGCATGCAGCGTTACTTGGCATTGACATCTGTTTGATGATATCCCACAACATGGTCTTGCAACGTGATCTCGAGCGAAATCACTTGCGCCTCGTCTGTGTCCCAACGCTAGAGCTGGAGGGATGCAAATGCGCGTTTCAAATGGTGTGGAAACAAGCCCACGAATCGGGTGGGATTTTCTATTATTTTGACAGCTCCGCACGATAAACGCTCATATGAACCGCAGTTTGAGAGCCACTTTTGACGTACCTTCAGACATCAGCGCTAACTTCCGACGCGCGCTCGTCTGCACCAGTTTGAGAGCCACCCACGATTTACGCGCTGATTTCCGGACGACCCGAACTACGGGCAATGAGATCCCTCCAGCCCAGGTATGGTAGTGAACAATGTAACGCACTACGTCGCTAACTCAACCAACAGACAATATCCCCTTTAAACCCGACAGAAAGGAACAACGTCAAAACAAGGCGTCATCGTACAATTTTTCCCGACTGAAATCAAATCGACGTTTCCAGCCCCCAGATTCATAGGATTTCAAACGCGCCCTTGCTTCCTCACACAGGAGATCGCTTCAGCCGCCGGTGAGGGACGCGTCCGGAAGGCTAGGCACCGCTCCGCACCCGGCAGGCGGCCCGGCAAAACAGACCTCTGTCAGAGCAGAGCCGACTCCTCTGACAGTCCGACAAGGTCGGCTCGGCTCGGGCGGGGGTGGGGACGGAGGGGTGGCTGTGGTCAGTAGCCGGAACGGGCCTTGGCCGTCAGCCGGGCGCCTTCAGACGTGACAGTATGCAGGTGTGGCTTCAGCGGGTGCGGCCCGGCTGGCCAGCGCCCCACACAGCGGACGCGGCCTCTGCGGGCCCAGCTGGTCTTCAGTCGACGGTGACCGCTGGGGCCGGGTGCCGGAGGCGGTGCCGCCATCACATGCCGCTGCTCCCCTGCCGCTGCGCGCTGGAACACGAGCGGGTGGGGCGAGACGGCCGGTCACATACCGGGTCAGCCGCTGTGCGCTGGAATACGAGCGGGTGGGGCGGGACGGCCGGTCACACATCGGGTCAGTCGGCGCCACTAACGTGCGGCCGGCTCGCATGTCCGGGCAACCACGGGAGACCTAACGTGGGCTAGAGCGGTCAGATACTGCCTGCTGACCAACATACGCTCGTGACATATTGTCATGTATTCTTAGACACAACAATGATTGGGGCAATTTCTAATTTTTATATCAGTTCATGCTCATTTGTTATCTGTGGTTAGAAGCCTCTTGTTATCCTTTGACGCTTCTTTGCCACCAGAGAAGCATCATTTTGAAAGGAGAAAACATGCAACTTAAAAAACAAAACAGACACAACATCACAACAGGAACAAGCACAAATACTGAATTGCGACATGGCTACATAACAGCCAATCATCGTGCAGCAAAAGCTGCTGTGCGAGCAAACCGAACAGCGGCGAGGGCTGGGAGCGCTCACGGGCGACACCGGTAGATGTTGTCCGGCTCGACGGCGACGCAGGTGAAGGAGAAGCCGTCGCTGAGCACATCCGGCAGCCGCTGCCCGCCGACGGCGCCTGCGCGCAGACGACGCCGGCGTCAGCGCAGGAGCAGCTCAGGGGCCCAGAGGCGCGCGGACCCAGGAGCGGAACTTCCCAATCACTCTCTGCAAGCTCCGTCAATGCTGTCATTGGGGACAACCCATGGACAACCCATGGTGATGTTTGTCCGGGGAGGGCTCCCTTTCCAGTCGGGAGGGCTCGGCTGTAAGTCGGGTGGGCTCGGGTCCCCTACTGAATGGGATTCCACACTGATGGCCGGAGAAAATGTGTTGCACCGCAATTAATATTGTATAAACAGCACGCAGCTGTCAACAGCCTTACCACCTATGGTGAAAGAATCCTGTTGCCGTTTTCCAAAGCGAGGTCCGAGGAAAAATCTGTCTGCCTTGGTTTCGACACTGAGAAAGTCTGTAACAGAAGATTGCCAGTAAGCAATATGTGGGCACGTATACCGAGAGAAAATAACATTATCTATTCAGAAAGACCGCAGATCACTGTTGGAACTTCAATCGTCAGCTGCTCGCTCCAAGTGACCTCCAAATTCCAAGTCTTCATACCCTAAGGGCAATAAGCGACTGGAGACCCATAGCGATCGTCGATAAGCCCAATAAAGGATTGGCAGCTGCACTGAGGCACTGGTATGTATAGATCAGATTTCAGACTGCCCTCCTTGCGAAATTTTACGTCTCTGTTACTTGAAACAGTGCGTACACCGAGCAAGAGGCACATCCTTCAACAGTTCGTTGAAACGACGCGACCTGTATGTGCCACAGTAATGTAATTTGCCATCGATGAGCGACATCCGCGAACCAGACATCAAACCGGTTCCGCTGAGTCAGCTGCTGGTTACCTCCGCGGCCGCTGGGTTCGGCGGCGCTGGCGTCGGCCGGCGGCCCGTAGTGTCCGGCGGAGGCGGCGGCCGGGCCGACTATCAGCATGAGCGCCGCCAGCAGGCCGCAGAGCAGCGTCCGCCTGCCTGGTCCGTCCATCTCGAGCTGAGGTCTGACGTCCGACGGCCGGGTCAGTCGAGCACCACTGATCGGTGTCGCGCCAACCGGTACAGCGGCAGACAGGGCCGGTCACTGACGGGGCCGCGGTACCGAAATCATAATAGGTGAGTTGTTATATATACACGCGACCCTTCATCATGTATACACTAGAGCTGGGAATCCAAATTGGCAGGATTCAAATAATTTCATATTTTGTAATTCTTCGAGTGCTAAAAACGGGGATTCGATTTATGAAAATCGAGATCTGAGGCATAAAACCACAATCAATGCTCAAAGCATAAATAAATTGCATTTGAATATACGGCTCAATGTATTGAATACAATGCGGCTTCACGTTTCGTTTAGATAACTACTTGATCCACAGATTTGACCGTTCTGCATCGGAGCGAGCCACCCGATCTCCGTTCTTTTTCATTGTACTTCGATAGTTCGACGCAGCTTCTTTGAATGATTTGAAGCTGGAATCCGAATCCACTAGCCTACGATTGGAATCCAACTGCTCTGCGAATACTCCGCTCTAATGTGTATATATATACATACATGCGTGCATACACACACACACACACACACACACACACACACACACACACACATACACACACACACACACACTCATATATATATATATATATATATATATATATATATATATATATATATATATATATATATATATGCATATATCTCACGCCTATACTCCTAAGAAGCAAAGATTGTCGGCCGATCCGTTTGGAGCAGCGTACACGTCGGTCATCCCTCGGGCGGGAGCGCACCTCCCCGACCCGCCGGCCACCCTTCAGGCGGGAGCGCACCTCCCCGACCCGCCGGCCGCCCCGCCGACAGCCGCGTGGCCGGATCACACAGGCGTCATGTCCTCCCACAGCGCAGCTACACACAGATGCCTCCATGAGGCCGCCGGTCCGTTCACGACCATAGCGTCTCTGGATCATCTCGAGTGTGGCGGGCGCCGTTCGATCCGGGCAGAGCGGGGTGGACTGCGCCAGCCTGTGGCAGCTGGGTCAGGGTGTCGGTACCGCCGTGCTGGGGTCGGACCAAAGGCCTGGCCTCTGCTGCATGGTGCCGCTGAGATCAAACACATGCAATGAATGTGTTGCCGCTGCAGTAACCATTGCCGATCAGCTGGTATCCCTGTCTTTTTTCTTGAAAAGTGTTGCCGCTGCGGGTTCGCCCCCGATCAAGATTCAGACTGATCCCCGGAATCGTAGCCTCCGACACCAGTGGCTTGCGTACATACTATGACAAGTGTGCGATGATTAACCTCCATGATCCAGGTTCTCAACTCCGCCCGCTCTCTCGCTCGCAAGAATCAGCAATGTTCTTCAGCTTTCCCGAGCACGGTTTCTGTTCACCAAGCTACCGTTTCAAATTCAGGTGAGTTATTTATCCAGACATCCGTATGGCTCCTAATGACGGTTCCTGGTTTTCAGCCTTTCATGAAAACGATACTCTGGATCTTGGTTTCAGTTCCATATTTTACACAGGGCAGCCTTGGTTCCCGAATTCCACTCGGTTACAAACACGGGACCTACGTTCGCGGGTCTCACACGCAACCCCGATTTCTTATTTCTGTTTCCATTAGATCCTTCCATTGTTTTTTTTTGCATGCACCATACCCCATCGCCACTTTTGCAAACTCTAAAACAGTAGAGCGCTGTCGTGTTTGACGGCTATTGATCACCGAACTACTGTACTGCTCCAAATATTAGACATCCATTATTATTTGCGCGAAACACTTGCCTCATTGCATAACCTATACATGGATCTGTGTGACGGATTCACGCTGCAGTAGATGACGCTGGATCCCGCTCGGACTCCGAAGCTCGCCGTCGCCCGCGTCTGAACCGAGCTCCCTGACGGCGATGTCACACACGTGGGTTTGTTCGCGCCAGAGACCACTGTGTGACCATGAAGCGGCAGGCAGCTCACGTTCGCGGTCGCAGCGGCGCCTAACATGCACGGGCCGGCGGAGCCCACGGGCGTGTGTGCCGCGACAGGAAATCAGGTTTGGTGAGAGCCCGTGTCGCCATCCGCTCGACAGCTCCCGGACCGCATGCTAAGCGCTCGTTTCCAATACCGGGCTTCGGGACGGGCTTGACGCACGAACGCCCCCGTCGGCTCCGGCCTGACGGGGGCCTTACGCCATCGAACCAGACCGCGCGTCTGCATTCAGTCGAGGATGGGGGCTGCGACAGCGGACGAGAGTACCGTTTCGCGCCGGACGGCTCCCGCCCGCCCCCTCCCCCCTCCCGACCCGCTGCACCGATACCAACGGCTCTGCCTGGTTACATCCTGTCCGGGTAGGCGTCCAAGATGACTTCGGAACAGTATGCGACGCGAAGTCGGGAAGGAGTCTCGCACGATGCGCTGGAAAGGAGTGTTTTGCATTTACATGGGGTTTTGAGCCAAAATAGCCATCTTGCATATCGTTCGGTATGGTTCACAGCCCTGCCTCTCATTTATGAGCGACAACTCCGCGAAGATGTGCAGACTATTTTGGGGAGACTATTTCAGTTCAACCAGGCATCCATGATACCATAATAACGCCATTCAAATCCCCTCATCCCATTAGGCATACGGCAGTGAATGTTTAAACAAATATAAGTGTCGAATTGTTCATATTTGTGCGTTCGTGAGCACAATGTCCAGATCAACGACCGTCAATTAGCTCTCAATTAATGTTGTGCAATACGCGACGACGTAATCAACCAATGATGCATTGAGTAGGACATGTACTAAACAGAGATATTGTGTTATCTAGAGCAGATTTTCCACCTAAAAGTACTCCAACAGGTATAAGTGGCCTAATTTAGTTTTATATCTGTTGCTTGCTTCAATGTCTTTTAATAAGGAAAATTTACTTTGAGAAAGGATAAGGCGTATGTCAAATATGATTTGCGTTGATGTATAAGTCGACACAGGTATCGAATAAACCTCACCTCCTAAGCCATTTAATCGCCAATTTTTCGTTTCATTTGACGTAAGTTTATAAGTACATTTGCGAGGAACATCATGTACACAAATAAAGTAGTAGTAATGAGCAGCAAGGTAAAGCAGTAAGTCTTCTTCTTCGGGGAAAAATCAGGAGAATGGATGTAGAGATCCGTTGATAATTCGGCAACAGACCTCTATCGAAACAAATAGCAGAAATGAATTTGCAATTGTCCGAAAAGCAGGGGGAAATATGCAAAGAAAGCAAACAAAAAATTGCCGTGTTTTGTCTAAGCCATTGAGCCCAACCCTGCCGCCTTTATCCCTGCTCAGTCGTATCGAGCAGTTGAGCATGCCGCCTGTGGTTGACGAGCTGCTCTCTGTATATCCTTAATACTGCCTTGCCCAGAACATTACCACTGACGTGCTGTTCTGTATCCTTGCCGCACCATCTGTTTGTCTCCACACACTTCGCTTTTTCATCCGTATCTGTGGGGACCCGTGTGTTCTCGTCTGGGGGAAGCGACCCTGCAATCTTCGCACCCCGGTCAGCTTAGTCATTGCCGCTCCGGATGAGGTGAATGGGTATCCGGACTAAAGCGATCTGTTCACCGTTTTCTTTCTTAGACGTGACACTTTCTAGGATTGGCTGGATCAGCTGAGTCGCTGAAGCAGTGTGATTCGGGAGAGAAAAACTACTTCGGGGGAGTTCGTAAATATTAAAGAGCATGGCAGTACCAGTTCAGCGATAAAAACAAACGCACATGGGAGTATCGCACACCTTCCTATGCCTCAAGACGATATGTAGGCACACCCAGTGTCCCGGGACGTCCTGTATCAGTCAGTATAGAGATGTGCTGCTCCTCTGTACGTGTTTCATAAAAGTTCTTAAGCTCCCTCTTTCATCTCAAGTGCCAAGGTGCCATTCTTAAAGTATGTGGTTAGTGTAACGTCGCACGGCGGGGTGAACAACATCCAAGGCTCGGCGGCTGAATGTGTCTGGGCCTGTATGTGGTTTACGTCAACTTCAGCATTCTTCAACCACTCATCCACTGGGAAACAAAGCGGCTGAGTTCTCAGCCGGATCCTGTGCTACGGTCCGGATCATTTTTCCGGAGAACATCGGACAAAACGCTGGGTGTGAGTCCATCTGCCGTATTCTCAAGGCGTACCGGATGATAAAAGGCCGTTGTCTCCCCATCAAAGCAATTGAGGCTTAAACGTCGCGCGAGGCTAACACCAGAGTGGGGTGGAGCTCAACACCTTCCTTCTAGGAGTTTATTTTTCTTAGGCACGTCTTTTCCTCAGCCGTGGTAAAAACATCCCCCCCCCCCCCTTACGTGATAGAACAGAGTTGGAAAAACGTGGCTAATCAGGTGCGTTCCTTATCTCAGCTGTATTTCAAATAGTAGCACATTACCAATAAAACAGAATTGCTCTTAAATGTTATG